GTATAGATGATAGAAAAAAGATAGCGCGAGCTCCTATATAATATATACAAATTATGCTTCTAAGGAGTATCCAAATGATCATTATGAACTGGGAATATACCACAAAATGCATATAAAATATTACATATAGATAAAATGCATTGGTTTTAAAAAAAAAAAAAAAACAAATAAATATAATATATAGCCAAAATGGGTGCCATGAACTATCAAAATCCGGTGTTGCACCCATATAAAGCTAATGTGTACTCTAATTTAATTTAGTGCAAAAGGCATATGTTTTAACGTGCTGTACAATAAAACAAATAAAAATACTAGTCTTTAATTTTAAAACATTAAATTTGCAATGTAGATATTTATATGTTTCCATTATTTCCGAGTTTCTAAAATTCATTTCAACAATTTATATGCTTCACCTTTCCTATATTTGCTAGTGAAACCATGCACCCATTCCAGGCAAATACGCTTTTTATCCTTCCGTAGGATTAGATGGAATAATGGGTTGATTTCCTTTTTCAATCTTTGAGCCGTTCGTATTAGGTGGATATGCATTTGGATGGATCCTCTGTTGTCTACTTTTTCTCCCTGTGTACCTGTTTATTATACTAAGTAGCTTCTTGGGGTCTCCCATTTTGCTACGCCTGGGGTTGTTATCCCCGTTCACACCTTTAGTTAATATCAGCTCATGGGATGTATTGTTGGATTTCTTGTGCCACTTAGGAAAATTTTCAGATCATAGTGGGTCTTTCCTAATTGTTTACAACAATGGATTTTTTTTGCCAGTAACAAGTAATTTACTTGATAGTATTGCAGCTCATAAATGATCCAGTCAGGCTTAGATGGCAATTCAGCAGGTAAAAAGTAGATACAAAGAAACTCACCTTCTGCAGCTGCCCTGCCCAGTTCTGTGCTGCCTGTGCTTGTACTCGGATCTGCTAGCTTCTATACAGTTGCAATGTATTCGTGACGTCAGAGCCCTTCCCCTACGCGTTGCGTCACAGGGTCACGTGACTTCATCAGGGGGAATTTGATGGGATATGGAGCATGTTATCTATATGTAATATTTTATATTGCATTTTGTGGTATAGTCACAGTTCATATTGTATTTGATACACGCTTAGAAGCATATAGTTGTATATATTTATAATAGGGAGCGACGGCGCTATCTTTTTTCGATGACTTTTGGCTGTCCACCTTGTTGGACCCTCGTCTACCGTTCCAAAATGGTGGCCTTTTTCACACCCCTGCTGAGAGGGAGCCAAAATTACGTACTATAAAAACACCTATGTAGTCAGTTGGTCTCTGCCTTTCTGCGCCTAACGTCCATCCTCAGACACTGTGGGCCCTGTGCGCTTGCGTTCCGCTGCCATGGCAGCAGGGGAGGGGTGGGGTGGTAGGAGCTCAGTGGCAGCTCCACCAGCAGCGGCTGCCTCAGTCTGCAGTCGACTGATGAGTAGCTTTCTTCACCAGCGCAGTGAGGAAACTACTAACCAGCCTAGCAGCAGCAGCTAGCAGCAGCATCAGGTGGACCTGGAGCAGGAGCTCAAACAACAGGCTTGGGCCTACTTGGACAGCACCCTGCCAACCGAGGTAGACAATCCCTTGACTACTGGGCAACGAAACTTGACCTTTGGCCCCAACTAGCTGAATTTGCCCTTGAAAGGCTGTCATGCCCGGGCCATGACCACTTTCAGGTCTCTTCACACTCGCTGGGTTCCATTTGTTTAGGATGCTGGCAGGATTACAGGCCTCCCAGGAGCTGCTGCCAGGCCCCTAATCTGCCATGGGCCCCCGTTTGTGAAAATGAATGCTGCTGCCTGCCAGGTCCACAGTGTGTCATGGGGTCCAAACCACCAGACCTGCCTGACCACAACTGTCTCCATAAATCCCGCCACACTCTGCCATGTGCCACTTTCAGGTCTCCTCACACTGCTGCTGGTTCCATTTTTGTCATAGGGTGCTGGCAGATTACGGGCCTCCCATTGCTGCTGCCAGGCCCCTAATCTGCCATGGGCCCTGTACCGCCTCCTCATGCTGCTGCCAGGTCCACAGTGTGTGTCATGGGTCCCTGTACGGCCTCCCATTGCTGCTGTCTCCATCGCCACACTCTGCCATGTGCCACTTTCAGGTCTCCATCACACTGCTGGTGGGTTCCATTTTGTCATAGGGTGCTGGCAGATTACGGGCCTCCATTGCTGCTGCCAGGCCCCTAATCTGCCATGGGCCCCTGTACCGCCTCCTCATGCTGCTGCCAGGTCCCAGTGTGTCATGGGTCCCTGTACGGCCTCCCATTGCTGCTGTCCGAGTGTCCACGCCAATGACTCTGCCATGTGCCACTTTCAGGTCTCTCTTTCACACTGCTGCTGTGTTCCATTTTTTGACATAGGGTGCTGGCAGATTACGGGCCTCCCATTGCTGCTGCCAGGCCCCTAATCTGCCATGGGCCCCTGTACCGCCTCCTCATGCTGCTGCCAGGTCCACAGTGTGTCATGGGTCCCTGTACGGCCTCCCATTGCTGCTGTCTCCATCGCCACACTCTGCCATGTGCCACTTTCAGGTCTCCTCACACTGCTGCTGGTGTTCCATTTTGTCATAGGGTGCTGGCAGATTACGGGCCTCCCATTGCTGCTGCCAGGCCCCTAATCTGCCATGGGCCCCTGTACCGCCTCCTCATGCTGCTGCCAGGTCCAGTGTGTCATGGGGTCCCCTGTAGCGCGCGAGTACTCGCCCTCCCATTGCTGCTGTCTCCATCGCCACACTCTGCCATGTGCCACTTTCAGGTCTTCTCACACTGCTGCTCCACGCTGCCGGCCAGGTCCACAGTGGGTTCCATTTTGTCATAGGGTGCTGGCAGATTACGGGCCTCCCATTGCTGCTGCTGCCAGGCCCCTAATCTGCCATGGGCCCCTGTACCGCCTCCTCATGCTGCTGCCAGGTCCACAGTGTGTCTCCATGGGTCCACTGGTCTACACTGCTGCCTCCATTGGGCCTGCTGCTGTCTCCATCGCCACACTCTGCTGCTGTGCCACTTTCAGGTCTCCTGAACGGCCACACTGCTGCTGGGTTCCTTTTGTCATAGGGTGCTGGCAGATTACGGGCCTCCCATTGCTGCTGCCAGGCCCCTAATCTGCCATGGGCCCCTGTACCGCGCCTCCTCATGCTGCTGCCAGGTCCACAGTGTGTCATGGGTCCCTGTACGGCCTCCCATTGCTGCTGTCTCCATCGCCACACTCTGCCATGTGCCACTTTCAGGTCTCCTCACACTGCTGCTGTGTTCCATTTTGTCATAGGGTGCTGGCAGATTACGGGCTCCCATTGCTGCTGCCAGGCCCCTAATCTGCCATGGGCCCCTGTACCGCCTCCTCATGCTGCTGCCAGGTCCACAGTGTGTCATGGGTCCCTGTACGGCCTCCCATTGCTGCTGTCTCCATCGCCACACTCTGCCATGTGCCACTTTCAGGTCTCCTCACACTGCTGCTGGGTTCCATTTTGTCATAGGGTGCTGGCAGATTACGGGCCTCCCATTGCTGCTGCCAGGCCCCTAATCTGCCATGGGCCCCCGTACCGCCTCCTCACGCTGCTGCCAGGTCCACAGTGTGTCATGGGTCCCTGTACGGCCTCCCCATTGCTGCTGTGTCCATCGCCACACTCTGCCATGTGCCACTTTCAGGTCTCCTCACACTGCTGGTGGGTTCCATTTTGTCATAGGGTGCTGTATGGCCTCCCATTGCTGCTGCCTCCACCGCCACACTGTGGCTCCACACTCTGGTTTTGGCCCCGTGACTGCCCAAATGAGTGAAGTGTGCGGTGATTCTAAGATCGACGGCACTCATCTGCATGTCATACTGACTGACAGTATTATTTCTCTTCCCCAGCAGACTCCAAGGGCATTTAAATTAAAGGTACAGTGTTCTGCACTAATATAAAGGCTCTCTGAAGCCTAGAAACACCCTTTTATAAGTTAAATTCGCAGCGAATATATTCGACTCGAATCGAATTTTTTTCACTAATTCGCCGAATCAGTCGAAATCGAATTTTTTGAATAATTCGCTCATCTCTAATTACAATGAACATATCCAGTCACATGTAATTAAGAGTTTTCTGTGTTTATTACAGGTAGCAGGAGGCTGTTTAACATGATAAATAGGACAAAATGACTTAACATGTGCCCTGTTGGTTAGTAAATGTCGCTGTTACTATTATGCAATCAGATTAGTCGCAGCATGAATATGAATATATATTGCAGCTATGCGATTTGGCGCTAAGATACAGGGAATGTGATCTCTCTATTGTAATACGCTATTGTTATGCAGAATAGTTTACTAGCATATCTGCAGAGAGGCTAGGTATTCAGTATTGCAATTAAAGATGTTTATTAATGCATATTAAAATACTTATTAATGTATATGAAAATGTTTAGTAGTTTATAGAGGACAGTGATGACAGTGAACATATCCAGTCACATGTAATTAAGAGTTTTCTGTGTTTATTACAGCCATTCCTAATAAAGCACTTCTGGTTTCACCCGACTCATCCTTCGCACAGTGGAATTATTTACCGTATGTGCAACAATTACATTATTGAATTAAATTTATAATTATTATATTATTATTTTTATAATTATTTATTATATTATAATTTATAATTTTTTGTGTTTCAAATTTTATCATACCCGGGATGTTTATTAGACTCTTGTTTGGACAGATTTAAGTGAGTTATTCCTAAGAATTACAGGCCTACAATATAAAACAACACAATTTCCATGCAAAACAATGTACCACTTTGACATTCAAAAATATTGATTCGTTAGACTGCCAGGGAGGTTAAACTCGTTCTTTCCAACCTGCATGCCCTGAATAGATGGGTTACTTTACAATGCTATAGCAAAGCGTTCCATGGCACGTACTGTATATACAAAAACAGACAAAGGGCAACCCTGGCATGTACCATTGCATATCACTATCAGGACAGAGAGAGTGCTTTTTATCTTTACTGTAGCCATGGAAGCCAGATACAGTGCACATATTTTCAATACAGAGAATAGGAGTAATAAAATATCTGAATTAGCGTTGCGGACCAGCCTAGGCGATCAAACCCCTTTTCAGCATCAACCGACAGAGAGACAAAGAGGAGCTCCTGTTTTTTGTGTGTAAGCTATCAATATAAGGGCTTTGATAGTGTTGTCCCTGGTTTTGCATTTAGGTACAAAGCCTACCTGGTCTGAGTGAACAAGAGAAGAAAGGAGGGACTTAAGTCATTCGGAAATTATTTTGGCATATATTTCATATAGCTCGTTAGCGTGGTAGGTAAAAGGGAGGGGACCTCCAAAAAGTTATTTAGTGGTCTAGATGTATGAAAAGATAGGTCTATAATGCTAGGATAAAGGAGGGAGGGGTTACTTGCCTTCTTTTAGGATTATGGTAATGCTGTGTTCACCTAAAACATGGTTAATGGACAAAAATAATCAGAATAGATTACTTGACTACATTAAATGTTTGTTTTTTTACAAACAGATAGTGTGTCATTGTTTTAAAATATAAATAATATTTAGTAGGGGTGTATAACAAGATCTTTTGAGGCGATTAGTAAGCACAAAAATCTGAAATAAGACCATGTGGGCCCTAGTTTTAAGCAAAGATCTTGAGTGAAAGGAGGGCCTTATTTAGTAAAGGCACATTATGAAATCCTTCTGTTAAGGTTGTGTGGCCATTTACCAATCTAACAGTAAAAGCAGTTCATGAAAAAAGATTTATAGCTCTGGGCCTCATTAAATTGACACTAAACTCTGGTTTTTAAAATGTTATTCAAGTATGCAGTTTTAACTCAAAGTACCCTCAATTTCTCTCAGCCCCCTAAATTTCCATTTCCAAATTCTTTTTTTTTTTGCTTCTGTAATCTTGTTTCCTGTTAGAGGGTAGCTGATTTCGTTCTCCATTTCCACATTGTACTGTATGTATGAATGTGGCTACTCTGTCTTGCTGGGGATGTGTAGTGTACGTAGAGCAGTGAAGGTCAGGAGCTCACAAAGGACATTTCAATGAAGTAGAAAAACAGAGTATGGCACAATTTAATGAAAAGTAGGGCCAATAATTAGTGGATGTGTATGGATTATTTTTGGAGAATAACATTATTTTTTGTCTCATTTAAAGGCCTAGTATGGCTTTCAATATTTGTATCTATTTAGTTTCTCTTCTGGGAAATGCCTTTATTTCCCCCTCTAGGATCTTCTTAGACCTCTATCCTAGATGAAGAATTTAATATGAAAAGTATCAAAATTGTTTTTCATTTTCAATTAAATATATGTGGTCTCAAATACGATGATGGAATTTTCATTTTGTTTTGCCACCTGCAGTAAAGTACAATAAATATAAAATGTTTGTGGTTTGGCAATCAAAATAATGCCTTGGTGAAAATTTTAAACCAGTAAGCTATCTCATTTTGCTCTCTCCAAGAGCATTGGGTGCATATCCCACATTTAAACATGTCCTTTCGTTCACGTGGTCCCTTCTACTTTCTTCAGTATAATGAAGCTGCCTGCCTGCTAAAGTGACTCAATACCAGTTCTGGGTTGTTTATCACATACATCCATACCACTTTATGGCTTGTAAGTAGACACCAGTATTTATGAATTTTTTTTGTATCTGGTGATGGGTATAGCAGGTGATGGTTTTTGTAGTGCTTACTGTTTTATTACTTCTAAGGGTAACCAGTAAAGTTTCTATTGGCTTACCTTTGGCTTTTTATATGATTTCTTTAAAATGGTCTTACTGTAGCCTCTTTGTCATTGCCTTTGCATTAAAGCAGAGTACCCGGAGGAAACCCACGCAGGCACAGGGAGAACATGCAAACTCCAGGCAGGTGGTGCCGTGGTTGGGATTCGAACCAACGACCTTAGTACTGCGACAATTGTAAACAATTAATGGCTTCGATTCATTGCATTCTTTGTTTCAATTGTGTTTTTAGCTGTGATTGGTCACAGTGATCACATGGTACAGACGGCACTAATCATAGCTCATCTGTACCATGTGATTAGCATTGGCCAATCACAGCTAATCACAACAAAACTCAATTAATTGATTTCATTCAATAAAATGCTTGCTTAGTGGAGTGAAATTCACTGCTATAAGTAATCATAATGTAATCATAATGTGTAAAAATAAAAATCCTGATCTCTTCCCCAGAGTAGTACAATGAAACTATGGTAACATTATATTTCTTTGCTCACAGTGTGTCACCAGTCATTGTCGATAGTTCATAGCCACACCAGTTATGTGATTACGCTGTACTGCACTGGTGCCAGTATGTAAAAAAAAAAAAAAGTTTAATTTTTAAATTTTTTACATTTTTCATTTCTCAAACAATTATGACAAAAATTGCAGCTTCAAAAAACTCATGATGCCTCTATGTGTGCACCCAAATGTGTTTGGGTGCAGTGTTGCATGACCACGCAATTGTCATTGAAAAGTGTGATAGTTCTGAAAGCTGAAAATTGGCCTGGGCAGTAAGGGGGTAAAAGTGTCTGGTATGGTGTGGTGCTTCAATCTTACACTCTTTAAGAAGTCATGCTCCCCTCACCCTGTTTTGTTATACACCCCCATCTACACCCTCTAGTTAACACCCTTGACTACACCCTTTTATCTAACGCCCCTACCCCCTGCTTTATAGCTCTAGTTATAGCACTACTCCTGCAGCATTTTAGTCAAAATATAATTCTTATTCTCCTCTTATATTCCCCCCTTACACCCCACCTTCTCACCCTTCTCCTTTTACACTCCTCACTCCCCTCCCTTTTACCCTCACTACCTCTCTTATACCCACCACCTCTTACCCTTACCTTCTCATCCGCTTTATAACATGATACATCCCTCGTTTACACCCCACAACCTCACTTCTCCTTCCCCCTTTTACCCTCTGCACTTCTCTTTTACCCCCTCTACCTTATACCCTAACTGTCTCACCCCTTTTACCATTACTTTCTCTCTTATATCCCCATGCACTTATACTCTGTTCTTCCCATCCTGTTCATAACACTCATATTCTTCATTTACACCCAACCGCCTTACTTCCCCCTTCCATTTAGAATCACCTCCTTTCCTATACCACCCCCTTATATCCCTATCTTTTCATCCACTTATTTTCCTCCCAGTTACACTCACCCCCTCTCTTCTTCCTTCTTTAGAACTAGTGGGTTGGTATTCAATTAAAAAAATGCACAATCGGCAAACAAACTGTGCCTAGTGCAACAATACTGACAACCAAAAAAAGATAAACAAGAACAGCAGCACTCACAGATACTTGAATATGAATAAAGTCCACAGTAATCATAAAAAGAATATCCACCATGACACCACACACTTATAAGATTTTCACCCTCTCCAGTGAAGGAGGTTCAAACCACAGAGAAGGATGTCTTACACAGCTATGAACTGGTCCCAGTGGCATGGATGGTTCTATCTCTTGTTTGTAAGAGTGATGACCACACAGCTTAACACATCCCACAGCTCTTTTAATATGGACCCAGGTAAGATGGATGTCTCGCCGTCACTTAGAGTGGTAATCACTATCTACAAACATGCGCTCTCACATGCATGGTAAGCACAGAAAAGCCCACATAGTGTAGTAATTCCTGCTTAATTTATTAAATCAAAAGAACTGTACTTACAAATATGGATAAACTGTGGATCAAATAGCATGTACAAACAACCTGTGCTTGTTTGAGCCAGCGTGATGATGTCACACACTTTGAGTGAGATTGACTAAAACTGGTGCATACAAAATCTGGTGCAGCTGTAACCAATCAGCTTCTAGGGTTTACTGTCAAAGCCTAATTGAACAAGCTGAAGTTAGAAGCTGATTGGTCACTATGCACAGCTGCACCAGATTCTGTCTGCACAGGTTTTAGTAAATGCCCCCCATTACATTCCAC